AAAAGCATCCGACTCGTATAACGTGCAAAGATGAAAATCGGTCATCGTGAGGTCAATGATATCCGGAGAGATCAGCCATAAATTGCCATCAAGTTTGATCCGAAGAAATCGTGGGACGGCAAAGATAAAGATAAAGACAAAGATAATTTTATACATAATTAACGTTGAGATTAATATTAACTGTAAGTGTTGAATTATTATCTCCGAGTTTGTCATTATTTCAAGATTGTGATTCTAAGAAAATTGCTTCGTTATCAAGAGAGTCACTCATTATAAGTACGTGTATATAAAGAATCGTTCTCCCTCCCACAATTTTAATCTCCTTGACATTAATCTCTGGTAATTTTCCAATGACAGCGAAAAAAAGCTTCCCCGATTCATTATCTAAATGGTTGGTTCGCTTATATTTTAGAGCCTCGGACGTTTCAAGGACTATTTCCGTACACGACATCCTTAATTCATAGTGAATTGCATGTTAAAATAAACACTCGTATAAACGTATGCATCTTCCTGCAAATTATTTTTGAATTTTGTGTTTCTTGTTAATCTGCAACGAACGGATGAAGTTTGATAATAAAATTGGATGCTTTATTTCTTTGTAATAACGAAATATCGAAAACGTCCTTTTATTTAAAACGTTACATTTAATTAAATCTAAACAATATGAATGTTTCTATTGCCTTTTAAATTCAATAAATGTAAAGAAATATTTTTATTTACTTTTTATATTAAAATGTGATTTGATATATATATATATATATAAGTAGCTATAAATTATTGAAACATGAGTTTCAGAAAATTCAATCTTTTTTTAATAATAATTTAGATTAACCAAATTAAAAACTAAATTTTTTAAATTATATTAATTAGAAAATAAAAATATACTAAAGAAAATTAAATTAATGTAAAAAGTTAAAATAAAGTAATTTTTTAAATAATTGCGTGGATAACAGTACGAAACATCTTTGCTACAGCTTTTTTCGTCGTTGGAGCAACGAAACACTTGGAAAATGTGAACCACGACGAAAGTGGGTTGCGAATCGCGCGCTAACCGCGAGAGGTGAACGTTCTCTAAAAAGATTTTCTCTTAGCGGCAACTGCATTGTATTATACTCTTTCATTTGACAATTTCAAGTCGGCTTACCATGTTCGCACATACTATCAACGTCATTGGTAGAAAATAGAATTCTGACTCATTCGTCCATACGTAACGCTGCCGCGGCCGTCTCTTCCTTTTTTATACGTGAGAACGATCGATCAGTGATGTTAATGAATGTATCCAGACGAGAATCTTTACCGTCGATTGAATCTGTGTTTTGCGTTAGATGGAATGATACATACGATTATTAACTTGCGAAGGAAAATGGCATGGATCGAATATATATTTAGCGCGTATGCGAGACAACTTGTATAATGTGTTTTGTGAATGAGCTGAATGTTTTCAAACGATTATGCCATTTTCTTCTCGAGATATAACGTATGTCATTTAAAGTATATGTATTTATACGTATGTATGTAACTATTATAATTATGTATAATAATCTCTCTCTCCTTTTAATCTCCCGTAATGAAGGATAAATTAAGAAAGTTGGTTATTTAATTTGAAAACATTTATAATTATGAAGCTGATTAATTTTGAAAGTTTGGGGACTTTAATTATAAA